CGCCAATCGGCGCATGCGCGCCTCCTTAAAGGCACAGAGCGGGAAATTTGAAAATGGCGGTATTTCTTCAAAAAAGCTGGCGTTTTCAGTTCCCTCTGTTATTCAGTGCTCTCTGGTGCCATATTCTGTCTCTGCAGGTATGTTTTAAGTTATTCTTCTATAATATATGAGGATGTTCAGGTTTTTGCTGCATAAAGTTCATGGTGAATTTTTTTTTTTTATGCAGCCCTTATATAAATATAAAAATGGATCCTGCATCTCCATCAGCTAAATCAACAAGATCTACTATAGGTCATAGGTGAGCATTACGATATATTCTATTTTTCTACATTAAAAAAGAGTGCATGGAGGGTACAGTCATATGACTTCTGTGTTTTACAGCCCTCAAGACCGGTCTGGCCCTAGATCTCCATCTAAGAGGAGGGATAAACCGGCGGCCTGCCCTGGATGTGGCACAAGGCCTTTGGATAACTGCAGGTTATGCCGCAAATGTTTATCCATGATTGCAGGAGAGTCGGAACATCGCAGGTCTCCTCAAGCCTCTACGTCCTCATCTCAGGATATAGCTTATTGGATTAAGCAAGCAGTGGCGGAAGGGATTTCAGAATTCAATAGAGGCAAAAGACCCAGGCGTGAGAGCTTTGGCCAAGAATCCGACCTATCTGAAGATGACTTCAGACATCCTGCTGGTTCCTTGGATTTGGAGCTTATCTCTTCTAGTGAGGAAGAGTCCACGGAACAACCGTGTTCATTGGACACAAAGGCGATGGAGCATCTAATCAAGGCAGTGAGAAAGACTCTAGATTTGCCAGAAGAAGTCAGGGAAGTTTCTACTTCTGATAGACACTTCGGAGATCTCCATAAGAGGAAACCTTCCTTTCCAGTGCACAGATCCATTAAGGAACTGATTCGTTCAGAATGGAATACTCCTGGTAAAAGGATTACAAGTCAGGGTAGATTATCAAAATTGTACCCGATTAAGGAGGAGGATTCAAGAATGTGGACAGCGATCCCTAAAGTGGATGCTCCAATTATTAAGGTGGCAAAAAGATCAACTCTTCCGATTGATAGTAATGCTTCTCTCAAAGAACCCATGGATAAGAGAATTGACGCAGATCTTTCTAAGGTCTTCACTACAGCAGGCTTGGGTTGTCATCCAGCAGTCTCTATCTCTGCTTTGTCCAGAGCATTACGTTCATGGATTCTTGATTTGGAAGAGGATATTGAGAGAGGTGTGAGTAGACGTCGCATGACGGACTCCTTGAAGGAGATCAAACTGGCCAGTGATTGGCTGTTGGAATCCTCCACAGATCTTATCAGGATTTTTTCCAAGGTTATGGCTCATTCGGTTACTGCCAGAAGGGCTCTTTGGTTGAGATCCTGGGGAGCTGACCTATCTTCCAAGAATAATTTGTGTACCTTGCCATTTCTGGGAGAGGTGCTTTTTGGCAGACCACTTGAGGAGGCGATTAAAAGAGCGGCTGAGGTCAAGCAAATCTTGCTTCCACAGGACAGGCGTCCAAAAAGACCACAACAGGACCATCGTCCTTACAGGCCACAGGGAGGATATAGAGATAGTAAAACCTATCGTCCAGGCAGAGAATATGCTCGGCTCTCCAATTGGAAGAGTGGTCAAACCGGAAAATCTTCCAGACCAAAGGCTCAAAATTCCTCCTTTCGCCCCACCAGACAGTTCTGAAGGTGGCTTATACCAGGTTCCCCATGTAGGAGCACGCCTTTCGTTCTTCTGGAGGACCTGGAGTGTGATTCCAGATGCTTGGGTGAATTCCGTAATCACCGCAGGATATTCTCTGGAGTTCGAAGATATTTCCCCTCCACCAAGATTCATCAGAACAAGACTCCCTGTCGACAGACAAAAAAGAGAAGTCTTGACCCATTATGTTGCCAATCTTTTTCTGGAAAGGGTCATTGTCCCGGTTCCTGTGAAAGAAAGGTTCCAAGGGTTCTATTCTCCCCTGTTCTTAGTAAAGAAACCAGGAGGAAAGTGGAGACCTATTCTAGACCTACACCAGCTCAACATCTTCTTAAGGATAAGAAAGTTTCGTATGGAATCCATCCGTTCCATCATTCCAGTGATTCACCACAGAGACTGGTTAATCTCAATAGACCTAAAAGATGCCTACTTCCATGTTCCGGTCACAGAAAGACATCAGAAGTTTCTTCGATGCTGTGTAAAAGGGGAGCACTTCCAGTTTCAGGCTCTTCCCTTTGGGATAAGTACGGCCCCGAGAACCTTCTCAAAGATACTGGTCACGGTAATTGCTTTCCTGAGGAAGATGGATGTAGCAATTTACCACTACCTCGACGACATTCTGGTAGTGGCCTCAGACTTCGAGATGTTACTCCAACACAGACATCTAGTACTCGAGACTCTCTCTCGGTTTGGGTGGCTAATCAACCACGAGAAGAGTCATTTAAAACCTTCAAGGGAGCTGGTGTTCTTAGGAGCATGCTTCAATACCCTCAATGCGATGGTATCTCTCGCCCAAGAAAGAAAATTGAAGCTGCAGGATCGGATGCAGGTTTTTCTTCAGAAGACTTCTGCTTCCGCAAGGGAGTTTATGAAACTCCTGGGTACCCTGACCTCTACTATAGACCTGGTCAGATGGGCGCATTGGAATCTTCGTCCGCTTCAGCAGCATCTCCTGAAAAACTTCAAATCCAGCTCAGACGACTGGGAGAAGCAGATCCACATTCCTCTCAGCCTGAAAAGGAAGCTTCATTGGTGGATGAAAGAAGAAAACATCTCCAGAGGTTTTCCTTTGAAGGAGGTCGACTGGGTAGTCATCACGACAGATGCCAGTCAGTTCGGTTGGGGTGCTCATCTGGGAAATTCCTTTGTCCAAGCAGAATGGACTCAGAATGCTCAGCACCTGCCTTCAAATATAAGGGAATTGAGAGCAACGTTTCTGGCTCTTCTTCATTTTCGGCATCTGATCAAAAGAGCCTGGGTGAAGTTGAGAGTGGACAACAGAGCGGCTGCCGCCTATATCAACCATCAAGGCGGCACCAGGAGTGTTTCACTGATGAAAGAAGTATCAGCAATCATGACCTGGGCACAAATACATGTGGAAGGTCTACGTGCGGTCTATCTTCCAGGAAAGGAGAATGTCTTGGCGGACTTCCTCAGCAGACACCTGGTAGAAGCCACGGAATGGCACCTGTCAAGGACGGTGTTTCAGCAATTGGTCCAGAGGTGGGGTCTTCCCCAAGTGGATCTCATGGCTACAGCTCAGAACACTCAAGTTCCTTGTTTTGTTTCAAGGAGATTCCATCCGAGGGCGCTGGATCAAGATGCTCTTTCAATCAAATGGCGCTTTCATCTGGTATATGTCTTTCCCCCAGTTCCTCTCATTCAAGCTGTTCTGAGGAAGATTTCCAGAGAACGTTGCAGGGTGATTGCAGTGATCCCCTTCTGGCCAAGACGCCCTTGGTTTCCTCTTCTGCGGAGGTTGGCATTGGAGGATCCTTGGGAGATTCCAGTCTCGGAGAATCTGCTGACACAAGGCCCAGTGGTTCATCCAGAACCTTACAAGCTCAGGCTTCATGCTTGGCTTCTGAAAGACAATCGGAACAGGTGGTGGCTACCCTTTTATGTTCCAGGAAGATCTCCACTTCATCTACTTACCACAGAATATGGGAAGCCTTTGCGGTCTGGTTAAATTCTTCTATACAGAACATGGGTACTCCTACAGTCTCTCAAGTTTTAGGTTTTCTACAAGCGGGCCTGGAGAAGGGTCTTAGTCTTAACACCCTGAAAGTTCACTGTTCAGCTATCTCGGCTCTCTCTGGCACTCGATGGGCACTTCATCCTATGGTGGTTCGTTTTTTCAAGGCCGTTGTACGGATTAGACCTCCTATCAGACAACTGGCGTCTCCTTGGAATTTGCCTCTGGTACTGCAGGCCCTAACGGAGTCTCCCTTCGAACCTATTGGGAGCATACATTTGCAGATCCTTTCTCAGAAGACTCTATTATTACTGGCTCTAGTCTCTGCCAGAAGAATGTCTGACATCAGAGCTTTATCAGCCGAGGAACCTTACACTTCATTCTTTGATGATAGGGTCGTTCTCCGACCGAGGCCTGAATTTCTTCCCAAGGTTGTTACATCTTTCCATCTCAATCAGGAAATTATCTTGCCTGCCTATTTTCAGCATCCTTCTACCCCTGAGGAATCAAGGTGTCATATGCTGGATCTTCGTAGATGTTTACTGATGTATATAGAACGCTCTGCTGCTTGGAGGAAATCCTCTCAATTATTCATTATACCTTGGGGTTCTCGCAAAGGTGAAGCCGCCTCAGTCTCCACTCTTCGTTCCTGGACGGTTTCGGCTATCTCCAAGGCTTATGGAGCATGTGGTGTTCCTGTTCCGAAAAACATCAGGGCTCATTCCACAAGATCTATCGCTACTTCATGGGCTGCAGAGTCAGGAGTTCCTGCAGAGAGCATCTGTAAGGCTGCCAATTGGTCTTCTCTAAAGACCTTTGTAAATCACTACAAAGTGGATATTGCTTCCCGCTCGGATTCGGAGTTTGGCCTGTCGGTCCTGAACTCCTTTAATCCTCATAGATGATCTCTATATTAAACTATTTTTGTAGCATGCATTTCCCTCCCTGTGTTGTTATTGCTTGGGGAATCCCATATGTTAAATGCTGCCATGATTAGCCAGGAATAGGGAAAATTTATTCATACTTACCGTAATTTTCATTTCCTGGCTATTATTCATGGCAGCATTTGGTTTCCCACCCTCTATTGGATATGCTTCTTGTTACTTGACTGAGGTGTGATGGCTGATGGGGTTCCTATTATACAAGGGGAAGGTATGCTTAATTGTTTAATTGATTGTGTTTCCTGTCCTGAGGGTTAGAGGGAGGAGCTAAACCCATATGTTAAATGCTGCCATGAATAATAGCCAGGAAAAGAAAATTACGGTAAGTATGAATAAATTTTCCCTAGTATTAATTAGGAACCGTGCTCAGCTGCGGTGAAGAGAGTCCTTATAGCTGCAGTCCCAGGATCTACTAATAATCGCACTTTGACATAGACTGTGTGAGGGAATCTTGCAGTGTCTCTACATTTGGGCCTGCAGGGACACAGTCTATCTCTGGGTAGATCCATCTCAGTCAGCCGATGCCGGCTCGGAGAATTTGGCATGTGGGTTGGGGACGGTGGTAGGGTGGGTGGTTTGATGGGGTTCCGTCTCCCAGGGAGGCTCTCCATACAGATCTGTCCCCTGTACGCACCCGCCCTGAATGCCGTTTGTCCTCGCTGCTTTCATCGGAAGTCTGTAGAAGCGGGGATGTACTCCGTTGGTTGAGGGCTTTGGGTGTCGCTGAGCGGTGAGTGGGTCGGGCGTACTTTAGAGTCCCGTGTTGGCTTGCACGAGGGCTAGTGTTGGCGTCCGACAGGTATGTCTTCGTTTCCTGCCGCCCTGATCTTACACCTCGTCTCCGTCTGAGGGCCTCTCTGGGGGCTCGGGGTGGGTCTCTGCTCATTTGGCGCCGAGTGGCAGGGCGAATCCACGCAGCCGCTTCTTTTGTCGCCTGCTTGTAGAGCCATCCCCTGGTGCAGAACTTGGTCCATAGACCGGTGCAGAGCCGGTCATAGAATTCCAGCGTGCAGTCAGGTGGTTTAACAGGGAGGCTTTTAGTCATGGGTTGTGCTTGTGGCGCCATCTTGCTTGGGCCTCGACTGCCTCGTTTTCCTGTTAGTGTTGTTACTTGGTCCTGTCTTGCTTTGGGGGTATTCTTCCCCCACGAGGACCGGGATATCCCCTGCCGGTCCACAGGAGGTATAGCAGGGCTTCTTTAATTTCTCGCGTGTAAGCAGTTCCTGTGCCGGGCGATCAACCACCTCCCCCAGGCTGCGGGTTCCACTTCAGTTTAGCCCGCGTGGCCGGATCATGTGCTCGTGTCGGTATGTGTTTGGTACCGTTTTGGTCCTGGTGTGATCCAGTATCTTTCTGTGGGCACCATGGGCTATTGGCATGGGTAATTTCTGCAGGGTTCTCGTTTTTGTGCCCACTGGTGCACGAGCTCCAAATATCACTGTTTTTTATCCTTATATCCTTCAAGATCCTGACGATTAAATATCAATTTTAGTTTTCTGATTCTTTATAAATCTGTACATTTTATTATTGCATGGCTTCTGATTCTTTATAAATGTGTACGTTTTGTTATTGCATGTTTTTTAAAGCATGCTTTCAGTATGGTCCATGTATGGTATTTAGTTTTTTTCTAAAATCATTAAATATATGAGATGCAGACGTTGCGTGTAAACCTTCAAGCCAAATAGCCAGCCCACTCCTTCCTCTCCATTTGTACAATTTACGCAGCATAAAACTTCTCTGTAAATCTTCTTTGTTCAATTACAGAACGTGATTATTTTATGAAAAACCTTTGTGAGGCAGACCATCATTAGCCACTTTCATGTACATTCATAATTCAGATCCCTGTGGGCATTTTCAGGTACTCGAGCCTCAGATGTAAAATGTAGAGTGAGAGCCTAGGGCGACAATTATGAAAAGCAAGGTGGCTTACTGGTTTTCTGAAAATGTTTAGTTTTTTTTCTCTTAAAGGTGAACCATCAGAAATTTGTACATAATAGTACATATGTGCATGAATACATTTCAACTTTCTATCAACTTTAGAATGGCGGGGGAAACAAAATTGTTTTAGGTTGATTGACTTACGTTATTGTGTCCCCTGAATTTTAGGACAAATGTGCTAACTTAAAGGCATCTTCAGCCAACTGTTGCCTTCTTCTGGAACCCAACTGCCCGTTAAGTAGCGATTCTTTCAGGAAACTCAGTTGCCTAGGAAGAACCAATCAACAGCAAGAACTGTTTTGAAAAAAAAATAGTTAAAAGAATTAATAAGTAATCAAATGAATGACTGTAAACTAAAATGAATATTGGATTGGCTGCAAAGACACAGTAAGTATTAGCATGTTGTATATAGGAAGGTGGCAGTATTGATTCCAACACTTGCGAAGGTTTTGGTGGGTTTATGATTAAGGACCCCTGTGGCACAGTTACCATTGCACCCATCTCATAGCACAGTAGATAGGGCACAGGGAACCCACCCTATAGACATGTGAACTCTTGAATAATTTGAACAGCTGCATAGAGGATAATGCAGGATAGTTAAATAATAATAACCCCCCCACCCCCCCAGGATGTTACAGCCCCCTCAATTATCCTGCTGTGGAGTAAGATCAAGTCCAGGTGTTTCTGACAAGGGCTCTGGATGAAGAGGTAGGTGCTTTGGCAATGTTTTGGTGTGAAATGTTAATTACGAGCCGAAAACGCCATGACAGTGATTTGCTTCAACGTTCCCATAGTGGAAAAATATTAAAATATATATCAATATTCAGAGCCAAAAACTTTCAAAAACTGCCATTCAGTAACTGGGAAAATCAAATTGTAGAAGACATTCTATAGAATGAATTAATTTGTTTAAATACCTAACTGGCTTATTTTTAGCACAGATTCAACGCGTTTGATCCACCTATCCATCTTCTAAATATAAAGCATATAAAGCATGTAAACATAATGTCAATAAACTCAGGTTAGAAATGGACTAAAATCAAGTTGTGTGTTACATGTACTAGTAAATTGGTAGACTGAGCTTGCCCTCTGCTGGACTACACACAAATCTGTACTAAAGAGGATATTTGTGTACATTTTAAATAGTAATATAAACTAGAAAGCGTGGATGCAGATAATGAGATTTATGACACCATAAAATATAGGAAAAATAATTACAAAGCCAGTGTAATGCACCATCACTCCCAATCTCTGTTCCTTTTGTTCTGTTCAGCATTCTGTCGTCCTATGTCCATGTCTCTCTACCACCACTACATCCAAGTTCATATCTACTCTCTCGTGCTTGCTATCTTTTATCTGTCTATTATTTTTTCTCATCTAGTCCATTTGCGCCAGTTTATCTTCCTTTTTCTAAAGTCCAAAGTCAGTATCCTTTTACTAATGTCCTAAAACAGTTTTTTGATCTTCAATGTAATGCAAAATAAACAACAAAATATAAAAAAAAAAAAAACATACTTTTTCTTTCACTATGTACAGTGAAAATGTGTTTACAAACCATCCCTGTACCTTGCATAGTATAAAAGTTACAAGGAAAGGAGGAGAAGGAATGCTCATGTGCATATTTACATTTCAGATGCATTTTTTTTAGCCAGGCACCTATATCTACTGTACCTCGGCAACTTGCTAATATAAACTCATACTGTGTATTATTCTGGCATTTTGAGATTCTGTATTCCTCAAAAATGCCAACATGTTCCTTCTAAATGCAATTAAATAGAGCGTTTTTCTATTTTTCTTTATATACTTTATGATATGTAAAGCAGCCTAAATTATTTTGTGCCAATATTACAAGACAAGGATTGCCATATAGCTATTTGTTTATTTAGTTGGCGTATCATTTGTATCATTATTGGGTGCATTTGAAATATTTCAGCCATAAACTTTATATCACCGATATTATAGTATATGAGAAACAAGTGAAGCAATACAAATCAGAATGTGTGGATTATTTAATACCCACGGTCTCTGTGTTATCATGCACTGACCTGCAGGAAACGCATTTCACGTTTACACTAACTGGTATGTTTTTTTGTGTCTTGTTTTTTAATGAAACGCACTTGGGTAAATGTAAACTTTCTAAACCAGGATATTGTTGGTTCCTGCTAGTACTATTGCTAATGTTTGCAAGACTTGTTTGTAGAAGAATTTACCGACAATATTACAAATTCAGTACTTATTTCAGAGTTATGAGTATTCCTAGGTAATATACCATCTTGTTATATCAATGTTCGTATTTTTTGTAAAATCTTCAATTTTTTAAACCACCGTATTGGCAGATCAAGTTTTCAAATCCCATATTGTACGGAGGCTAAACTTTCTGTATTAAGATTATTAAATCTCTACTGGTTGATCTTTTGTTTCTTTACCACTGTAGCAAAGGATGAGGTTTCGAGTGAATTCGACTTTTCAAGTATATTAAACCAATAATCCTCTCAATATTAAACTCCTACCTTGTGCGATATGGTATACAGAATGGAATAGTATATACAAAATTAAAACCCAAGCAACGTAAGCTGCTCAGTCGGCCCCCCTCACCTCCAAATGAGCATTTCATACAGATAGAATTGTTATGAAATTCTCGTAAAGACTGTGTTGTAAGTTCCCAAAAGATATAATAAGACAAAGTAGGGCTTACTTCCTCCTGTGTATTTTCTTATGCTTATCAAAACCTTGCAAAAAGGGGGAGATTCTGCAATCTCGAAAGAACCTTCATAGACATCAGTCTTGTACTCTTGTGCATGCGGGAGAAGACAATACTGATGTTGGCTTATAGCAGTTGGAAGAAGATAGCGTTGGCCGCAAGGGTCAAGTTCAGGTAAGTAAAACTCACATTTTATTGCACCCAAGAGCCGCTTTACGGCAAGACAAAAAAAGTTACCATTGTGAGTTTTGTAAAATATGCAAAGTCCCTAGAAGGTGATAGAGCCTCTTTAAGGGAAAAGTTTTAAATATATGGGAAAAACTTGAAAATAATAATATTAATAATGCCAGACTTCTTCCAGTTACACCTTGATAAATATGGCCTATAAAGGTCAGCTAATGTATTTTTTTCAAGACTCAAGGTTGTGATCTCTTGATTTTATGCAGAGGGTACTTACCCGGTTTTACCGAAGAATGGGGTACAACCAACATAAAACGTCATAATTGCCAACATAAAACTTCAGGAATTGCAAAGTCAGGGTCTGCCTTTACAGGAAGTCATTGAAGGAGTTTGAAAATGATCTGTACTAAAACCTGTACTTATTGCTGGTCTAAGACAATATTCCTCTGTATTAATCCCTCCAAAAAAAAAATAGCATAGCATTGATGCATGGAATGCATAGTACATTAATGTAGGACAAAACTGCAATTTTATATAGCTTGATATTCAGTGGTATTTAAGTAAATTAAATTACCATTAATTATGTAAATGTCATATCATGCATGCGCATTAACGTGCCTTAAGTATCGTTATGAAATGATTAAAAGTGACAGAGACATTTTATCTATATATCTAATCTCCCCTCCCTTGTCTAATCAGATGCAAAAAAAAGAATTAATAGACAAAAATATATATTTTTCTTGAAACTAATTTGTAGCATTAGTCTTATAGGATGGCTTTCCAAAATGTCCATGTGGACAAACTACCACTTATACTGTAAGTACAGTTACACCAAACATCTGTACAATATTACATGGCTTTTATTACAGCCTGCAAAGAATCCCTGTAGTGTGCCCGTTGTGGTTTGAGTTGTTCTGGCTCTGCCACAATTTTTTAATAGAATATAGCCATACAAAAAAAAGGAAGTCGACTTATTGCGATAGAACAAAGTTGGTCCCTGGCTGATATAAACATTGCCATTCAGAATTAAAAATTGAGCTAGAGTAAAGAGTAAAATAAGTTAAATTGAGGGTTTGTTTTGTTCATGTTAACCTGAGTATGCTTGTTATTGTGAGTGAAGGTGTTATATTTTTACCATTATCCTGATGACACCTGATTAACACCTGAAGCTACATCTCAACCTTAGTGTGTCTAACCACCATATTCTCACATATTTCAGACCTTATGATGTGCCATAACATATACAATCTCTACAGGATAGCATTTAAAATAGAAAATATCATGATGGACTTTCGAAAGATGTACAAATGCCAGAAAGTAATTCACAGTTATTTGTAAGATCCCCAGTTATTCTAAAAGAGGACTCAGAAATAATCTACATTTTGTGAAGTCTAACTATAAAGTTTAGAGTACTACAGATGAACTTTTTTAATAAATAAAAAAAAAATTTAAAAAGCTTTTTGTTTGTTAACTTGATAATGTTACGTTTACACGCAAAAAGTTGCGGGCCATGTACAATTTGTAATCCAGCCTCTTAAGAGCATCACGCTACAGACAGCACGTGCAACGTAAACAGTAAAGTTACATCA